TTTATCCCTAGCCGCTCTTAAAATTCTCTCTTTATCTTTGGTTTTGGCAAGTTTGATTATACGTCTTGGTGACTTTCTTTTGGGATCTACCTTATGTGGGGTTCAATGAGCATCTTGGATAGATATCTTGCCATTTTCACGATATCAGGAAAGTTTTCTGCCAACAAATCTTCAACAATTCCCTCCGTATTTTCTGTTATCTCCCCCTGTTCTGGTACTCCAATCACTCATAGGTTATTCCTCTTGATACAGTCCCAGATAATTCTTAGGGTTTCTTCATTTTTTTTAATTCTTTTATCTGATTTTTCCTCAAATAAGTTGGTGTCAAGTGCTTTATCTTCAATCTCACTAATTCTGACTTCCATTGCCTCAGTTCTGCTCCTATGACTTTCTGTGGAGTTGTCTAATTCTGACATTTTATTGTTAATCTTCTGGATTTCTGATTGCTGTCTATGGATTCTTCTAGCCTGTTAAATTTGTCATTATACTCTTCTCTAATCTTTTTAATTTCCTCTATTGTGTGTTCTGCGTTTTGCTTAATTTCCTTCCAAATGTCTTGAAGAGTTCTGTATATTAATCTTTTGTATTCTGTCTCTGCTAATTCCAAGAAATTTTCCTCCTCTGGAAAATTTCTAGATTCTTTATTCTGGGAGCTTGCTGAAGCCATCATGGATTACCTCTTTATGTGATTTGATATTGACTGTTGTCTCCAAGCCATCAATAAGTTATTATATTTTTTTATTTTATGTTTACTTACTGTGTCCTAGCTTCTTGTTTTGTTTTGATATGCCCAAATAGGCTGCTCATATGAGCTAGTTTGATTATTGGCACCTTCGAAGCTCTAATGTCCTGTCACCAGGTGGTCAGATCTGTTACTAGGTATGTAAGCCCAGGAGTCTGCCCACTCCTCCTGTATGGTTTCAGCTCTGGTGCCCAAGTAGACAGCCATCAAGTGTGTGGTGCAGGCTCTCACTCACAGTCCTAGATAGGCACGGGTGATTGGTGTAGGCACAGGCATCTGGCTGCAGCAGGGGGACACACTCTGAGCAAGGCAGGGGGCTGACGGCCACCCCGAAGTGTCCAGGAGGAAGGCGTGTCCCTGTTCCTTAGAGCACATCGGTGGGTTTTGCAGCCAGACTACAAGCATCTAATGCCGTTGGCTGTAAGGACCAGAGGGCACCTCTTATTCATGGGCCCCTATAGCAGGTGGCTAGGTGGTATGGGTGGAGCCACCAGTCCTCAGGCCCCTGATGTGGATAGATGAAGGCCCTGCTTAATGGGCAGAGCAGTGTCAAATGTCAAGAACCTGCCACTTCACAGCTGAAACACCTGAAGTTAGAGTTCCAGTATATACCCTGTTGTACTGTGGTAATGAGGGCCTAGGCTGCTGAAATGGGCCCACACAAGTCTATGCAGGGGGAAAGGCACTCAGAGTCTGTGGATCCCTTATGCCTGCGCCTAGGCAAAGGACCTGTGTCTACCCTGGGTTCCTGGCTTAGGGGAGCAGGCAGTTTATTTTTTCCTGTTTGTTAATTTGTTCACTTTCCAAGGCAGGGAGAATGGCTCCGGGCATGTGACGGATCCTACTTCCGGCCCAGGGGACTTGGCAATTGCTGAAGCCGGTCCAGAACCCAATGCAGAGCAGGGAGCGGGGAGGTAAATGGGAGAGAGATTTTTCCCTAAGGTGGGTGTTTCTGATCCATACGGTACAAGTACTTATCTTTCGCCGGTGAGGGCTGCTTCTCACTGGTTCTGGGTGGCCGTGCAGACTCTCTGGTGCTGGGTCTCTCCTGGTGCGGGAAATGTGCCTCCCAAGCACTGTCGCTTGCCTGCCTCACTGCTCACCCAAGAGCTGCTCAGGCCTGAAGGGCTCAGGCTCTCGCTGGGTCAGGTCTGGCAACTCCTCGCTGCTTCGAAACCGTCTCCCTCCCCCTGCCACTCAGTCCAGTTTGTCAACTCGGCCTCTGATGTTCAGGGCTCCCAGACTGCCATATATAATCGAATAACTTGTTTTTTTTTGGTCTTTGTTTGAAGAGGGTCCACCGGAAGCGTCTGATTACTCCGCCATCTTGGCCCCATCTCCTCATATCCATCCTATGTACAACAGAACAATACACTGTCTGGTCCTGCGCCATCCTCACAATTGTTACGTTTGAGCCCATTGTTGCAGCCACTGGGTCAATCTATCTCATTGAGGGTGTTCCTCTTTTTTGCTGACCCTCTACTTTACCAAGCATGATGTCCTTCTCCAGGGACTGTTCCCTCCTGATAACATATCCAAAGTATTTGAGACAAAGTCTCGCCATTCTTGCTTCCAAGGAGCACCCTGGCTGTATTTCTTCCAAGACAGACTTGTTCGTCCTTCTGGCAGTCCATAGTATATTTAATATTCTTCAAAGACATCATAATTCAAACGCATCAATTCTTCTTTGGCCTTCTTTATTCACTGGCCAGCTTTCGCATGCATATGAGGCAACTGAAAATATCATGGCTTGGGTCAGACACACCTTAGTCCTCAAAGTAACATCTTTGCTTTTGAACACTTAAAAAGAGCTCTTTTGCAGGTTTGCCCGATGCAATATGTTGTTTGATTTCCTGACTGCTGCTTCCATGGGTGTTGATTGTGGATCCAAGTAAAATGAAATCCTTGACAGCTTCAATCTTTTCTCCATTTATCACGATGTTGCTTACTGGTCCAGTTGTAAAGACTTCTGTTTTCTTTATGTTGAGGTGTAATCCCTACTGATGGCTGTGGTTTTTGATCTTCATCAGTAAGTGCTTCAAGTCTTCTTCACTTTCAGCAAGCAAGGTTATGTCATCTGCATAACACAGGTTATTAATGAGTCTTCCACCAACCCTGATGCCATATTCTTCCGCATATAGTCCAGTTTCTCGGATTATCTGTGTACAGCAAACAGACTGAATAAGTATGGTGAAAGGATGCAACTCTGACATGCGCTTTTCTTGATTTTAAACCATGCAGTATCCCCTTGCTCTGTTTC